TAGCATCACCGAAGCAATGAACATGAAATTAAGCAAACTCCAGGAGGCAGTGAAGGACAGGAAGGCCTGGCGTGATATGCTTCATGGGGTCACGAAGAGTCGGACACGACTTAACAAGTGAATAACAACAAATATATCTATATCTATATCTTATGAAGAATGAGGCTACTGAAGCAAAGGTGGAACATTACAAAGCAAATCCTTGCTGCTTACTGTGATCAGACATAGCAGTTTTAAAAAATAAGACACTAGTTGTTTCTTTAAACCACACACCCCATTCAGTAGCTGCTTCTTTTTATCCTTGACCCAACCTTTTAAACAACATTTGGAGAATCCTTTCTTCTGTCTCTGTTTTATTAATAAATAACTATGTCTGCATAAACTATTATCACTTGAAAATTTATTCTGAGAACATAAAAAACTTATTTTTGGATGGCATTTTGTTCACATGCCCTGTTTACCCAGAACATTGTATGATCAGAACATCTTACACACTGGCTGAGATACAGATGTCCTCTTCCACTTTGAAGCAATTCATCCATTCTTTCAGTGGGAAACTCAAAATTGTATTCAGAAGATCTTTTCTGGATACAAAGAACTTTTCTTTCACACAGCCGTTTAACACACTCCACACACAAAAGGACTTTAACACACATCTCATCTGCCTTTCATGAGCAGCTGGAACCAGTTTATTACCTTCAGAGCATTCCAGCAAATCTCCTTAACCATACTTACCCTATGAAATGAGAAATTTACATAATATATGTGTTGGAACTATTTGCAGTTGGAAACACAGAACATATTGAAGACTTATTTCTTTACTCCACAAAGTACCCCTTACTATGATGATGAAGGGGATAAAAAAAAACATGACCACAGACTATAGTTCCCATGAATGATGTTCATTGTATTTCTTTTGTTCTTTTTGGGCAAAAGAATAAAGTAGAAAGATTAGCAAACAAGGAACCAACTGAAGGACTAAAAATTATAGAGTTTGGGAGTGGAGGTTTCCCTTCCAACTGATTGCATCTGTTTTCTTATCCCATGAACCCTGTGGGAAGCATCAAGATGATGATACTGGATTGACTAAAAACATGAACTTCAATCCACTAGCACAAGAGTGAAGATTTTTTTTCCCTATTGATTCTTGCATTCACTTGAAAGTAAACTCTCAATGATTAAATTCTGGCTGCTGTTCATGTCAGATCTTGCTCCCCACCAACTAGCAGGCTGCCAGGAAGTGGCAGATTACAGTATACAGGCCAGAGCTCAGTGATCTGAACTTGATCATTCGCAGAGCTTTTAAAATTAGTGTGCAATGTCAGTGTGAATCTACCAATCACAGTGGGATTAATGAGTCCTGAATAAGAGAATTACTAAGTAAGTGCATTATGAACCATATCTTTTTAAACAGTTGCTTATTTAATCATTCTTCCCAGAGTACTAGTGAATTCTTAACACTGAAAAGTAATGAAAACACTGAATGTTTCTCTCACCAAAGATATTGACAGTGGTTGTTTTGTTGTCTGTCCCAACAACATTGCCTGCCGTACAAGTGTAGTCTCCAGCATCCTGAAGTCGAACCCTTTCAAGGTGAAGACTCCCATCACTCCGGAGGCTGATATAGGGATTCTGGACCACCTAGAGTTGGGATGGGGAAGGCAGATAAGATTTATCTCCATTCTACATTTAGACTGGACGCTTACACTTTTAACCTGGGTTTTAAAATATATAACCAATGTTTTCCAGCAAAGCAACTCAAATCCCGTAACAGCATTATTGCAGGATTTTGATTTTGCTTGTTCTTTACAACCTTTGAAGATAAACAAACAGGTCATATGTCAACCTCTTTCTCACACCACACCAAGATCCATTTTGCACCATTATGTGGTAGGTGTAGGGTCAGCCAGAATTCTGGGACTGCTTTCTACAGCTGCTTTCTCTTTCTCCTCTGAATGAAAGATGTGAGGACTCGGGAAAGTGAAGGTGGGAATAAATGGCTTCAGATCATATGGAAGGCTTGAGCTTTTCAACTAGAATACAACAAAAACTCTACTTCTTTCATGGCTTCCCTAATAAAACACCAAAGGATACCAAAAGAGTGATTCAGTCTCAGGACTGCATATGAAATTCTCTTCCTCTGAGGTAAGTAGACTTCCCTGGAGCATACGGTTCAGATTTTCCTGTTTCTGGTTGTGGCACAGTTTCACTTAATTAATTATCAGTACCTATTTAAGATGAGTTTTCCTGTCTTTGTCATAAGCCACTGGAATGTGCAGCTTATTTTCTCCACAACCTTCCATTTTTTTCTCCTATAAATTATGTGCATAACTACACACTGCAATACTCATGCATCATAATAAAATTTGTGCTTATCTGCATGAGCATATTAACAAACCATCCTATAGGGGATAAAATTAAATTGTACTTTTTCTATGTATAAAATAATTTTTACACACAGAAAGAAAAAAATGAACATTGTGTATAAATAAAATCAAACTACCTCTATATCAAACTTAAAGTTGATTAGAAATCCTTCATTACAAGTGGAGCTGAAAAGAAGATGAATGAAACAGAATTTGTTTCTGCTTATCTTTAGCTCAACTGGTGAAGACACTCTCTTGGAGACAAATTAGAACCAAAGACCCAGTACAGATGTTTATTCTTTCTTCACTGCAGCATCAGAAAACAATGGATATACATAGAGGAGTAATCACAAATCCCTCTCCAAAAACAGAGCTTTTGCACAATTCAAATAAAATAATTCCCAAGTGGAATTAATTTATTGTCTTAGCTGTGAGTGTCAAACATCAAATTAGCTCAACACAAAAATGCATGTACAGAAAGGCTTCATATTACAACCACAGGAAGCATAGATATATCATGATTGTGGCATCATTTGTTATGTAAGTTTTTTTTTTAATCACATTTGTATGAACTTAGGGGAGACCTGTAAGAACTTTTTCTTTCCTGCTTCTCAAGAAGTCTATCCCTGCTAGATGTACTTGGACATGTACCTAGTGCTTACCCTAAATTGACTTTCCGAAGTCATTTAGCATGTAATTTCATTGAATCAGAAAACAATCTTCATGCAATACTAGGCTATGCTCCATCTGCTTTTTTAAAAGATCTACATATGAAATGAAATGAAATGAAATGAAATGAAATGAAATGAAATGAAATGAAAAATGAAAGGCTCTTATAAGTTTGTATGTTTCACCATCAAATAAGTAGAAAACTGTAGAAGGTATTCAAATATTATCTTACCACCATGCTATTTTTAATCCATTTTCGCTCTGGGATAGGGTTCCCTGCCAGTAGTACACATGACAGAGTCAGTTGTTGCCCTTCAATGACATTAGCTGTTGCAGGACTCATTCCAATTAGAGGTGCAACTATATGAAAGACAGAAAGGAAAAGAAAAATTATAATGCAATGATTGTTCTTATTCCCATAAAACTGCACAAAAAAAATAAAACCCTTTACAAGGGACTTTAAGAAAAATCCTAGACTGCAAAACTTTTCTCTAAAATGGTTTATTTTATAATTAACCTTGGATTATATAAGCTACTGAAACACTGATTATATTCATAATGTATGGAGACAATGAATCCCAAGATAATCTGTTAATTTTTACAGCATGCTACTTCCATTTTTATTTAGTTGTTTTATTATTATTATTTATTATTATTATTATTACTCAATAATATATACCAACCTTTCATGAGAAAAGGAAGGAAGGAGGGAAGGAAGGAAGGAAGGAAGGAAGGAAGGAAGGACGGAAGGAAGGA